CTGGGCCGGAAAGAAGAAGAGGCGGTGCTGGTTGGGGGTGAGTGGTCTCCTTCCCTGGATGGCCTCGACCCCAAGGCTGACCCACAGGTGCTAGTCCGCACTGCCATCCGCTGTGCGCAGGCCCAGACTGGCATCGACCTGAGCGCCTGCACCAAGTGGTGAGTGGCAGCCCTGCATCTGGCTGAGGCTGGCCCACTGAGTTGGTGAGACTGCCGAGGCAGCCCCGCTTCTGTGCCTTTCTGACCTGTTAGCTCTTGCCCCCGTCCCAGCTTGTCCTGCCCTCCAGCCCTCAAGTGTTCGCCTTGGTCACAGGCATGACCAAGGTTGAGTATGTGTGCTGAAGGCTGGCTGACCCTCCAAGGCTTGGCGGACGGGACTCCCCGGCCACATGCAGCGTCCTTGGTGCCTGGCCCCTTGGATAGCGATTGTGCCAAAGTATGTCCCCCATCAACTAACCTTTCTTGAGGACTTGGTGTAAATTTTTCATTTTACGTTTTCAAAGCTTGGCATGCAGTTTGTGGTCATTAAATGTTGGTCAGAAACTGAAGCCCTGGCCTGTCAACGCCGTGGGTCAGTGCTTCGTTCCTCCTCTTGTGGTGTGCAGGTGGCGCTTTGCTGAGTTTCAGTACCTGCAGCCGGGACCCCCCAGGCGGCTCCAGACTGTGGTGGTGTACTTGCCTGACGTCTGGACCATCATGCCTACTTTGGAAGAGTGGGAGGCCCTGTGCCAGCAGAAAGCTGCAGAGGCAGCTCCCCCACCCCAGGAGGGGTCAGCGGTAAGGCTGAGCCTCATGAACAAGTTGGGAAAGTAGGTGCTGTGACCCGTGGATCCAGGTGGCCACAACTCTTGGCTTTTATCACAGGAAACAGAGCCTTCAGAACAGGCAGCTGATGCGTCAGAGCAAGCAGCAGACGCCTCCAAACAGAACCCAGAGAATCCAGAGGTCACTGCACAGCAGGAGATGGACACTGACCTCCCAGAGGCCCCTCCACCCCCACTGGAACCCGCTGTTGTGGCGCGCCCTAGCTGTGTAAACCTGTCCCTCCATGGCATTGTGGATGATCGGAGGCCAAAAGAAAGGATCTCTTTTGAGGTAGGTGTAGAAGTCTGGGGAGGCTGCGGGAGTGGGGGAGGGGTAGGGGGAGGGGCTTAAGACCTTGTTTTTCTTGATGCTCATGGACCTCTGCCACCTCTTCGACCAGGTGATGGTGTTGGCTGAACTGTTTCTGGAGATGCTGCAGAGGGATTTTGGCTATAGGATTTATAAGATGCTTCTGAGCCTTCCTGAAAAGGTTGTGGCCCCACCTGAGCCTGAGAAGGAGGAGGCAGTCAAGGAGGAAGAAGTGGTCAAGGAGGAGGCAGCCAAGGAGCCCAAGGATGAGGTACAGAGTGAGGGCACAGCTGCCGAGTCAGATGCCCCTCCGGTGAGTACCTCTCCCACCCTGATGGACACAGGGGCTGTGCTCAGTATTGTGAAACAGCTTGAACTCAGGCACCATGCAGGGCCTCTCCCCACTCACCCCCCTCACCACCTGCACCTCTTGACCTGGGATGCCCTCAGGCGCAAGGCACTTACCACTCCCTGTGGCCACACAGCTAGTAAGTGGCATACAAAGGAGAGGGGAAGCAGGCTTGACATGTCACAGCTGTAAGGATGCTTCGAGTGGAGGTCTTGATTACCTGATGGTTAACTAGAACACTGCATTTTCTAACCCTTTCTAATCACATGGGTTTACTTGCCTAAATACTATCAAATAATTTCATATGGGACTGAGATTGACTCCTGAGGAAAATCCCAGGTGTCTGAAAATCGCCCTGGTCTGCTCTTCTGCTCTGAGCCTGTGTCATGAACAACATAAATGAGATGATGCGTACAAAGCCTTAACTTGGTGTCTGAATGTGCTTGGCACTCAAATGTTAGCCATTGGTATTGTTAGTAATTACAGGTGGCAGTTTTCTCTGTGTCATCTCGGTCTGCTTCTCCTAGAAGGAAGATGGGCTTTTGCCCAAACTCCCATCTTCTGGGGGAGAGGAGGAAGACAAACCCCGGGTTGAGGCATCTGAGGACCTCTGTGAGATGGCCCTGGACCCGGAACTGCTGCTCCTGAGGGACGATGGGGAGGAGGAGTTCGGTACGCGCGGTACAGGAGGGGAGTGTGCGGGCGCTGCGCCATGGCCTCCTGACTCTGGCTCCAGTGCTCTCTGGTTAGGGCTGTGGAGCCAGTTTGGGCCCATGTGCTTGGCGCCCTAAGCTTATATCAGGCTTTCTGCAGCAGGAGCTAAGCTGGAGGATTCTGAGGTCCGGTCGGTTGCCTCGAACCAGTCAGAGATGGAGTTCTCTTCCCTGCAGGACATGGTGAGACCTCTTTCCTGGCCCTTGGGGCCTCAGTGACAGTGTAGCCTAGCAAGGCCTCGGACCCACTACTGGGAGAGGGGTGCTCTTACTGAATGACTTCTGACATGTTTTGATTGACAAAAGACAAGAGGGGGTTCTTGGCTCTGGGCGTGGCACCGTCAGGCTCCACGAGCACGCTTCAGTGTCTCCACCAGGGCGAAACCGGAGTGAGTACGTGGTCTAGGAATGCAGCCCCGGGGTGAAGGGGCCCCTATAAATAGGGCTTTGGCTACAGGGTCTGGTCTGCAGCTGGAAGGTGCAGCTGGGTGTGATCGTGTCAGCCCAGCCTCAGTTAAAGGGCTCCATCCTGGGCGGTGGTGCCCAAGGGATAAGTCCTGCTCTTCCCGGTTTCCCCTGCAGCCGAAGGAGCTGGACCCCACTGCTGTGCTCCCTTTGGACTGTCTCCTTGCTTTTGTCTTCTTTGATGCCAACTGGTGTGGCTATCTGCACCGGCGAGACTTGGAGAGGATCCTGCTCACCCTTGGGCTGCGGCTCAGTGCAGAGCAGGTGCTTGGCTCGTGATCCCTCAGCCCTTTCTGGGATGGCGTCCCCTAACAAACGTGTGCCTGGGCATGGGCTGAACTCCTGTGGCAACTCAGTGTGTGCTGGGGCGAGGGCTTGCCCCTGCTCATCAGTGGGTATCCTGGGTGTTTCCTGTAGGCCAAAGAGCTGGTCAGCAGGGTGGTGACCCAGAACATCTGCCAGTACCGGAGCCTTCAGTACAGCCGCCCGGAGGGCACAGACGCTGGGCTTCCTGAGGAGCTGCTCTTCGGTGTGTACTGGTGAGGCGGGTGGGCCAGCTGCTTTCCCCTCCAGGGGCCCCTTCCTTCAATCTTTCACGGCCCTTTGTAGGAAACATGGACCTGCTACCTCCTTCTGGGAAAAGCCCAAAGCCAGGTGTTGCCCCAGTGGAGCACAAAGGCCTGGTGTCCCACAATGGCAGCCTGATCAACGTGGGGAACCTGTTGCAACGTGCAGAGCAGCAGGACAGTGGACGGCTCTACCTGGAGAATAAGATTCACACACTGGAACTGAAGCTGGGTGAGTGGCCTGAAGCCACAGGGGCCTTCATGGTGGGGACCTGCAGTCATGTGCACATGGAGACTAAGGGGAGCCCCAGCCCTCGGGCTTCAGGCCTCTTGCCCTGTGCACCAGTCCTTAACTTAGCAGCAGCCATTCTGGTATCTTCCCCCACCAGAGGAGAGCCATAACCGTTTCTCAGCCACTGAAGTAACAAATAAGGCGCTGGCAGTAGAGATGCAGGAGCTGCGGGCCCGGCTGGCGGAGGCTGAGGAGACAGCCCGGACGGCCGAACGGCAGAGGAACCAGCTCCAGCGGCTGCTACAGGAGTTCCGAAGGCGCCTGACCCCCCTGCAGCTCGAGATGCAGCGAATGGTCGAAAAGGTGAGCCTTGGGGAGAGCTGGCTGGCCTGGCCTCCACCTTCGAGTGTCTTACTGGATCGGCCGGTCAGCGGCTTGTGTCCTTGTCTAGGGTTACCAGTCCTCCGGTCTCGGCCGTCCCCCGTGAGTCCTAATCCTCTTACAACTGTCTCTGCAGGCCGATAGCTGGGTGGAGAAGGAGGAGCCAGCACCTAGCAACTGAGGGGTCTGGTGCAGAGCTGTGTCCTGAGGTCAGCGATGGAGCCTGCTCGAGTTAGAGCCCCTTGGTTTCAGAATGAAGCTGGAGCAGGACCTGGGAGCCACGGGCAGGGGTGGCTGACCCCTGTGCTCAGCCTCTGCAGAGGAGCTTAGGGCGTCAGGGTGGTGGGTCCGCCTGAGCTGTGGGACAGATGCGTGAGGAACTTAACAACTACATCCCACTTAACAACTAAATCCAACACCTGCACCCCTCCAACACCGCTCTGCCCTCTACCTTGGGATTTCTCCCGGGCCCTTTAGTCTTGTGCTGACTCTCTCCTGTCCTCTTCCAGTTTAGAGTAAGACAGGGGAGGAAAAGGCTTTTCAAGTATGTCCTAAGGTCTGATGCCAATAAACTGAAGAAACAGAAGTGGAGTCTGGCAGGGGGTAAGAGCTCCTTCCTCTGGACGGCACAAAGCCTGCTGGGTGACAGGAGCAGGGTCTTGGGGAAGGGTCTCCCCCTTGGCCGCCACAGTGGAGTCAGTGCTAGCGAGCTCTCAGCGGGGGGCTGTGTCACCAGTGCCGACTCATCAGAAGCAGCTGGTGCTCTCCTCTGGCTCCCTGCGTTCAGAATGTGGTATCGGCTCTGGCTCAGCCCTGTCCCATCCCCATCGATCTCACCTCTTTCCATAATCCATGGTTTTAGTTTGACTTTGTATATAAAGTTGGTTTTTTTTTTTTTTTGGCTTTTTGTTTTTTAAATAAACCAAAGTCAAAAACAAACTCAGTGTCCTCCGTGGCTCTTCCCAACCTCCTGTCCTGGGTCTGCCTGTGTCCCTCCTGGCCCTGGCCCAGCCTTTGCAGGAGGGGCTGGGGCTAGGCAGCCCCGGGGGCGCTGGGCTGGGCACACAGGTGACGAGGCGATTGCTGCAGGGAGCCTCTCAGCTCAGCAGGGGGCAGCATGACCCCAAACCGAGGCTGGGGTGGCTCGCCCCTCCTTAGTTAGTTACAGCACAAGCATGGAAGTTTTGTCGAAAACTTTACTTGAAAAAATAAAATTCCAGATGTACAGGTGTGATGCAAACCCACCGTTCTTGCTTTGAGCCTGAGGTCTGTGACGTTTGTGTGGTAGGGTATTTACATGAGCTGAATCCCTGTTTCCCAGGGAACCCACAAGACTTGGGACTCATCTCTGTACTTGACCTACGGGACAGAAGTGGGCTAGGCCAGCCTTTGTCATGCAGGCAGGCCACCGCCTCTGTTCCCCAGGGCAGGATGAGTCTGAAGTGTAAGGGCAGCAGGGGGCGTGGCCTCCCAGGAGGGGTCCTTTGGCGGTAGGTGTGATCACAACCCCACAAAGTTCAGGCCTCAAGTTGAGTGGACAAAGCCTGTGGCCTCTGAAGGCTGGAAGCTCGCGGTGGCCCCAGGCCAGCATGCGCTCTGATGGTTTTTTTGGGAAATAAAGCCCCTGGGGCTTTCCTACACTGCTGAGCTGTCTGGGCCTTTTCTGTGTGTTGGGAGAGAGCAGTCTGCCTGGGCTCTTGGTGCCGGGTTCACTCCAAAAGGCTGCTGAGGTAGGGTGGGAGCCGCTCTCCCCGTCCTCCCAGGGGGCCTTTTCCTGGCTGATGCCTGGGAGTAAGCTCAGGAAGGGTAAGATGGAGAGGCTGCCTTGTGTCCCGGGAATCTTCTGAAGGGGCAGGACTCAGTCATCGGCCACAATAGACAGGGCTCTGAGCTCGCTCAGTTTCGCCTCGTTCTCCTGCTCCCGTTGCTCGTCAGAGTGGCCAGGCTGGTCAAGCTGTTGGGTCAGGTCTCCGAAGATCTTGTGCATTTCGGAGTAGTACACAACCTGGGGCGGGAGGCAGAGGGGGCTGGCCGGTGCTAGGCTGGGAGTGCTGACACTCCCATCCCCAGTACCCCTGAGCAAGCAGGACAAGTGGGACCAGAAAGCCTTTAAGCAGAGCCTTAGCTGCATGAAGGGGGCTGGTGTCCTCCTCCCCACCCCAACCACCCTGGGCTCTTAACCCTCAGCCTGTCTCCCTAAGCTGCAGGCACCAGGGAGGAGGGAGGCCACAGGCTCATTGCTTGGGGTGGTGGTAAATCAAAAGGGGAGGAAAGCAACAGGCCCTTGGTGAGGCAGAGGAAGGCACAGAACAGCCTGAGGTGGGGGCTGGGGAGTGAGAGGACCCCTGGGGCCTGGGAAGGGTGGGGGTCATGCACTGTGACTAATGAGTAACTGCTCTACTGAAGTTGGAAGCAGCCAGAGGCCTCTGTCCAGCAGGGAGAGGGCCTGCAGGCTCCTGAAGCCCTGAGTCAGTCTTTGAAGTAAAGGGGAGGAAGGGGAGTCCTCAGCCTGTCCTTCCCAACCAGCCCCACCATTAATTGCTGCCTAGCCAGCAGAGCAGGGCTCAGAGGCAGCCTCGTTTCTGCGCTTCCTGCTGTGCAGCACCGGAAGCGGAATGGGAGAGGCCTACAGGGATAGGCAGGGACATGCTGAGGAATGGGGACAGCCATCAGTGCCTCTCAGATGGCTGAGGGCTGCTTAGGCCCAAGGCCTGAGCACTGGACAGAGGCTTTTCCAGGAGAGGTGGACATGGTCATTTCTGCCTCTGTCTCCACCTGATAACCAAATGAAAGCACAGGCTACGCTCTCCAAACCCCTAGATTTTGTCTCCAGCTCCAAGCTTTCTTTGAGAAGAGGGAGCCCCACTTCTGGAAACCTGGGGTGCTATGCCCGCCAAGGCAGGCCTAGTGGCGAGTGTGACGGCAGGACCACGGCTATGTCTGAGGAAGCGTCTTCACCCCTCCCACAGCTGGATCTCCACTGCGCTGAGGGGGAGCTAAGTCAAGGGTTCACACTGTCCTGAGGGGACGGGCCGAGGCTAGTGCTGGTGGTGGGGGTTGGGGGACCCCGCTGCACCTGCTGGGTCACAAGGCACGCTCACTTCTCCAGTGACTAATGGTGGTGACCACTGTGGGTGGGGGCGGCCCACTGCTTGGGTACAGGACATCCCCAGCCCCCAAACTACTCCCCTGATGCCCTGGGACTTCCTCCTGAGCTACAGGATGGAGGGGGCAGGGGCGGTAACAGCCCAGGGAAGGAAGGCGCAGGTCCCCTTAGACGCATTCCTCCAGGGCCCAGGGTGCAGCTGCTGGACACAGCCCTCACCTCTGGGACTGCTCTGTGGGCACATGTGGCAATTCCCACTTCACTGTGCACCTTAGCTCTCTGCCTCATTGTCCCCTAGGGATGAGGGACATGCTCACTAGCAAGTTCCAGCTCCAACATCAACCCTGCTCAGGGTTCCTGATCCCAAGTGCGGGGCCACATGGGTCTTGGTGGCGTCACAGGCCTTCCCTCAACTGTGGCCTCTGCAAGGAAGGGCAGTGTCCACAGGGGGGCGCCAGACACCCAGGCCAAGAGCAAACTTGGGTGGGAGCGGAGGGAACAGTGGAGCCTTTAGCTTTGTCACCTGCTGGGGGCTGGAGGGAAAGGTGGCAGGATGCTAAGCACCTGAGCCAGCTGGGGGTCCCACATGGAGACCTCTTGACTTTGGTACCTCAACCTTTTCTTTTACACGTGGGGGAAACCACCCCTGCCTAGGGCGTGAAGCAGAGCGGGCTCGGGGCAGGAGCTCCACTGGCTGTGCACGCTGGGTCCTCACACCCTCGGGCTGTGGAGGCACAGGGTTCTGGCCTGTGTCCAGCCTGCCAACTGCTGGGCCCCAGGGCTCCCGCCGTGTACCTCACCTGCCCGGGGGCCTAGGTCCAGCCTGTGAGGTACGCTGAGCACCGCTGCCCCAGGGTTCAGGCACCCCTCCAAGGGTTGCTAAAGGTCAGGATGCCCTGGGGCCTCCACCTAGGAAGAAGACTAATGGGTGGGGATGGGGGTGAATGGGTAGGGGGCGGCGGGTGCTCGGCAGAGGCCCTTGCCCTGTGGACCTCTACACTCATCTCCTGAGCACACCAGGCATAGAACCTGCCCCGCACAGTGAGACGCTGCCGCTATGGTCTGGTTTCTTGCTGTTGGCGGTAAAGTGTGAGAGGCGGGTAACTGTTTGACAAAGGGAACCTTGTCCTGGGGCTGGAATTTAACCAAACAGCAGCATAGGAACTAGACGGAAATTCCAGTGAACCACCAGAGTCGGAGTACCTGGAACCCCTCCCTCAGGGGGCAGTGCTGGACAGCAGTGGGGGTCTCAGTCCCTTCCCCTATGGGCGCAGGGCTTGGAATAAGACGTACCTACAAAGCCCAGGCCTGCCTCCCAAGGGAAAGTGTTGTGCCACCGCCTGGGGCAGGGTGGGGAGTGGCCTCACCTGTGCACGGATCAGGGACTCAAAGCTGGGCTGGAAGTAGTCCAGGCGGCTGGTGTAGAACCGCGGCATCTCGTCCAGGAGCTGCTTGTTCTTGGCCTCGAAGTCGTCCCGCACAGGCCGGAGCTCTTCTCGGGCCTGGGGAGCAAGACCTGCTGGTGGCACGTGTATGTGTGCAGAGGGTCCCGCAGCCCCGGAGTTGGTCCCCGGGTGAAGGAGCAACTTGCCACATGGGGCCCCATGGCCTGCTGCTTGCCCCTCCTCTCCCTGCTTGGTACCTGGTGGAGTTTGGCCAGCACTGGCCCTGTCTTCTCCTTCTCCTCATACTTCTCCACTTTGGCCTGCAGTCTCTTGTAGTCCTGCAAGGCCTGCTCCCGCCGTTTCACGGCCATGTTGAGGCTTGGGAAGACACTGCCGAACCTGCCAACACAGCCAGGCTGGATGAGGGCCTGCTCCTGGGGCTGCAGGCTGATGGCTAATCGCTCACTCACAGATACACACCGAGTGGCTAAGTGCCACACCCTATGCTAGGTCTCAGGGACTTCACTGGGATGAGAAGAGGCAGCCTCATCTGAGAAGGCTGTCTGGGGAAAGGCCAAGGGTCACTCCCCTGACCTGAGGACGACACAGTGGGTCATGAAACATGATGCCCCTTCTGCTGCCTGCCATTGCCCCCTAACCGCTCATCACAGGAGCCTGCATGTTAGAGGCTGCCACAGAGCATGGCGGAGCTGAAGACTCCCTGGAAGTCCCTTTCAGCCATCTGTTCAACATCTTCCTTTAAAAGATGAAAGAAACAGGCTAGAGAGATGACATGACTTGTCCAAGGTCACAATTAGGTAGTGACAGTCCAGCAGAGAATTCAAGTGTCCCAGTTCTCTGCCTGGCACCTTTCTGCCACCTCCTGATGCCATTAGCAGGTAACAAATGCAAGCAAAACCTACTATTGGTCTATTCTACCAGCTGGCCATGGGAAAGTAGGAATCCTCTGGTTCTACCACGGAAAAGGCAAACCATCAAGCTAAACAGTTTGAGAAAAATGACTGAAGGGCCTCTTCCACCCAGATGCAACTACAATGGCCCACCAGGGATGCTCAGAGGAGTGGGCCATTCAGAATGCGTGGCAGGTGCTTCAGATTTGGTCCCCGTGGGCATAATGGGTCACCAGTGTCACCTGTAACTGGCAAGAGCAGCAATGGCTGGGTCAGACACAGGGCAGGCCTGCCTCTTGCACAGGATGCTGCATTCCCCTTGATTTATGAGAGCTGGAGAAGGAAGGCAGAGCTGCAAGCAGGTTTCCTGGGACTGGACAGGAGAAGATGGGGTGGCTTCCTTGAGTGCAAAGCCCGAAGGGCAGAGGTGCTCTCTGCTGCTGAGGCTTGGCAGCAGGAGGCATCTACTATGTGCCAGGAGCCTGAGCAGAAACGGCCTGACCACCAGGCCATGCCACGGAGAATGACAGTGCCGTGGTTATCTGGGGCAGAGAAGCATAGAGTGGGTGCCCTGGGGCCAGAAGGGTGCATTCCTCCTGGAACAACCCCGAGAGGAGGGGAGATGGGCAGGAGGGAGTGGAGGCTGGGCTCTGCTCCCCAGGACTCCAGCACTTGCTGACTTCGGCCACTCACAAGCACTCTGGGCCGGGGGTCGTCTGCAAGCTCACGGGTCACCGTTAGGATGGTTCAGATCCATGTGGAGACTGATTTTGCAGGTCTTCCTCTCTGAGGAACACGGTCATGAATTTGGTTTTTAAAAGCCTCAACAAATCAAGACTACACATAACAAAAGTGTAATGAATACTTCTGCCAGAGAATAGAGAATGTAAACTTGACCAAAGCGCTGAATGCCCTAAACGAAGCTATGGATGCAGGCAGTTTTGATGAGACAAAGGATTTATCCCTGAGACAGGCCACCACCACAAACACTAACTCCACGGGCATCTGTAGTGGGTTCACTTCCTAACTGGAAATATTGAAGAGGGTAAGGCCACCTAAACTACTGTGTTCTCAGTCACATGCCCTCATGCACAGTAATCAATTCAGTATTAGAACAACTGATTTGCCCTGAGGAAGGCACAGGCCTGTTTGGTGCTGTAGGTGGTGTGGGGACCAGCCATCTCCAGGACAAGTGGTCCCCTGGCATGGGTCTGAACAGGTGAAAGGACTGGGAGCAGCTGGCTCACTGCTTTTCCCTCAGGCAGTTGCTCTGATGGGCTCTCAGTTGTTAGGTGAACCCCCTCCCTTCCTGGGAGAACATGACTGGCAGCTGGGAGGCATATGGCTAGAGGGAGCAGGTGCAGTCAGGCCTGAGAAGCCACCATGCCACCTCCCCCTCGACTCCAACCAGACAAGCGGCTCCCAGCAGCCACACTGGTTCTCTCATTAGAAGCAGCAGGCTGCCTGGGTGGCCCCAGGGCCGGGGGTCTCTGCTGCCCCCTTGTGGGCTGCCTGTGCAGTGCCCGCACAGAGGACAAGGAGAGGCAGCCAGAAAGCAGTGGCTGGAGTTTTTGTGCTCTCACCACATTCCTATTCCGTTGGTCTCCAGAAAGGAGGGCGACCCAAGGAATGAAACTACGTGCGCGCAGTGCATTCTCAGGTGCAAGATGGGGTCACTGTCATGCTGGCTGGCCAAGGAACTGGTATCCTCTGACCCCACAGTGCGAGTACCTCACTTGTCCAAATGATCTCCTTCCCTAAATTTGTCAAGTGGGGCTTGTTTCCAGGCCAGGGTCAGGTGCACCAGCGACACTGAAAAAGGAGACCTGACCCAGGCCAGTCCTGAGCAGAGAGGGGAATGCATCCGGGGCTCCCTGATTTCCATGCAATGCCAGGCAGCCTCAGGGGCTGGGTAAATGTGGTGTGTCTACAGGGTGCTACCTGAAGGCTTCTGGAAGCAAGCCCACCATCCTCTGTGGGGAGAAAGTGGCTGCAGCAGGAACTGGGGTCAATTACTCTGTTAGACCCTCTAGGAAAACTGTTTCTTCACATCGTAACTTCTGCCTCCCACACAGTGCCCCGCCAGCATCAGACCCAGAGGCCATGCAAGGCTCAGCGGGCCTAGTTCGCTGTGGAGGGATCACGGACCACTTACCACCTGAGTGACTTTGGCCCTGGGCTTCGGGTAAGGGCAGGTGTCATGCCCTTTGCACACTGAAGTGGGGAAGCCAAGGTCAGTATTCCGTGGTGGCTGATGGAAGACTGGAGGGGAGGAGTCTAGTCCCCGGGGCTCCAGTTACTGCCCCTCGGAGGCCCTGTTCAATTTTCTACTAGAAGCCAACAGAACAGACTTTGCCAGCTCCAGCCATCAGGCAGCACACCACCGTGGTACTGAGGGAGGGGCAGGGTGATCTGGCAGCAGCCCCCAGATGTGGGGTGCTTAGTGCCTTACTCATGGGGGTCAGGGAAGGGAAGTGAGCAGAGAGGGGAAGACAAGCAGAGGTCGGCCACCAGGGCCTGGGCCCTCCCAGACTTGGCCGGGCTCCTGGAGAGGCCCCTGTAGACTGCAGGGGAAAGACGGGGGTGAGGCGGCATTCCCTGAGGCCGAAGCCCGCACTTTTACTGCGCTGCCACAAAGAAATGGCTGGGCAGTCAGACCCCTCTGGTCAGTTGCTTCTCCTGACAGTTAATAGTGAGATGGCCCATGGAAATCCCTGGGCCTGGGCCCCAGGATATTCACTGCCCACCACACACGGTGCAGTGCACAGACTCCTCCCTCTCCTGCTCCTGAGCACCAACTGAGCCAGGAGTTCAGGTGGGCTCTTCCCCTTCCATGGATGGGGAAACAGACTCAAGGAGTGGGCCCTGGCCAAGGTCACAGGCTGAGTGGGGGCGGTTGGCATTGCTCATCCAGCACTGCCCTGCTCCTCAGCACTGCACCACCTGGGAAGCTGTTATGACGGCCTGCCTCCCCGAGCATGCGCCATCATGGCTTCCGCACTAGCTCATTAGCTCAAGTCTGTGGTGTGTCTACCCTTGACAAGGGAGGGCAGGGCTAGGCCTGCACCAGGCATTCCCCAGAGCTCTGCTCATGGCGACCGCCCTTCCTTGCCCATCCTTAAGTTCAACAGTAAGCTGTCTCCCCTGGGTAAGCGTGGGGTGAAAAGGCAGCAAGAGGGAGCAGGGACAGGGGGAGGGAGAAAGAGGCCGGCTGGGAGGTGGGCTGGGAGCAGCCGGCCCTGGTGGGGAATGCCTGCCATTCCTCAATCTGTGCCCACACAGCCGGCATCTTCCACCCACCAGGAAAGGGAAATTGAAAGCATCCCCATCCGACCATGTGAATGTGGCCCAGAGACTGGGGGATTAGAGGCCGGGCCCCTGGGGGAAGGTTGGGGGCGGCGGGTGGCCATGTGGTGGTGTTCTTCATCAGAGGACAGGAAAGCTGCAGTTTCCTGTTTCCGGTGCTGGGGTCCCTGGGAGCTTCTCTCCTGGCAAGAGGAGCCAACAGGCAGCGCTGGTTTATGTGGTTGGGGGAGATCACATGTCAGCTACGGGACGCACAGAAGCCAGCCAGGGAGGCAGGCAGGCCTGGGGCTCACACAGAGGTCAGCGGATCTGCTGCGGAGACGGTGCCCACCCCCTCTGCCACTCACCCACCTTCCTGGCAGGTGGTGGGCTGCTATCGTGGTGGGAAACAGCCGGGATTTCTCTCCGTTTGGCTTCAGAAGCCGGGCATCAGATTTCAAGGCCGCCTCGTTGGTTGTGAAATCGAGATGGGAATTAGTCCCCCAGTTCTCTGAGCTGGGGTCCCCTGTCTAGCGCTGCCAGCCGTGGGTGTCCCTGGCAGACCCTGTGCCCTTGGGAGTGGGATCTCCCCACTGAGCTCCAACCCCTCAGTCCTGCAGACTGGGTCAGAAAGCCACAGCAGTGGGCTCCTGCTGCTGCCTCCCTCCTGAGCCCGTGGCCTCCTCTCACCAGCTCCTCCTGCAACCCTGTGGCCTGGGGCTGAGCAGGACCCAGGGAAGGAGTGGGGGGCAGGGAGGAATCTTCCCTGCCATGGCCAGCCAGGCTGAGGAAAAGCTCCTCCTACCCCACCCCCTGGACCTGAACTGGGGACGAAGAGCTCAACCATCCAGCACCACGGGTGGAGGATCACAACGTGCTCTCTCCATTCTCCCCCTGGGCCCTGATCCAGGCCTAGTGGTAATTAGCAGAGCCTCATTACCCAGGCCCTGGTGAGGCAACTGCCAGGGACCACCACAGAAGAGGTAATAAAGTGCAGCTGCCGGGCTGCAGCGGGAGCCTTGCTAGGTCACAGTCTGTTTGGGAGAGGCGCGGGAAGAAGATGAAGGGATTTGGGACCTTCAAGGCACTGCTCCGCCCGTCCCCCACTGGCCCACCCCCTTAGGAGACCCAGGGAATTGGCCCGTCTGATCACAGACCAGAGCCTGCCCGGCAGAAGATGAGTCTCACAGAAGAATTTCTGACCCCTACAGGTCATGAGTTAGGGGACCTTCCCAGGCTAGACCCCAATGCTGCGCCTTTCCCCATGTGTGGCCACCCCCACATTTCAGAAGCTGAGTGCTTGCAGGCAGCTGCTCTCCCAATCCGGCTTGGAGAGATGAAAGGCCTTGCTCATCTCCGCTGAGGGTTGGCCAAGATCTCTGCTAGCTTAATTCAGCAAGCTCTGGCCCTACTGATTCTCAATCAAGAACAAAGGGAAAATGGCAACGTGACCACTGGAGCCACCGCCGTCTGCTGTGAGCATCCGAAGTGCCTTTCCGCTGCTGAGCACGTCTGGGCAGGGCTGGTGCTCTGGAGCCACCAGGAGCATCAGCCCTAGGGCTCTAGAGCATGTAGCGGGCGTCCCCGGTGGTTTCCTGCCAGCCCCATGTGAGTCTGCGGACAGGCTGCTAGAAATGATATTTGGGCCCCAAGGGGCCAGTTGAACTGCCTTTCCACTAAGAGCCCTGAGCCTAGTTCCCTGAGGCCCATGGTCCCCAGATGGCCTTTACTCACTTTTTTAAGGGTTCAATCACAGTCTTTTGAATCTGGTTCACCTGTCAAAAGAAAAGCCCAATGACATCAAGAGGGTGGGGAAGTGAGACCCTTCCTAGGAGGGGGACTCCAAATTCTTGAGAAGACAAACGCCTGTCAGGTGCGTCCTGAAAGCCCCTGGCAGGGAGGGCACTGGAGGAGGCCAGGCGAGGTGGGGTGCCCCTAACTCCGCCACTGAAGGAGGCACAGGTGACAACCTGGAAGCCTGGAGGGTAACAAGGAGCACCGTCCTTGTCCTGAGTCAGTTCTCATCCTGCCAGCCACTGTCTACCATGGCCAAGCTGGGTGGGCATCTATGCAAAGTCTGAGGGACTCTGGGTGGGCAGCACCCTTTCTCCTGGCCTCCCAGCTAGTGTTGTGAGCTCATGGGAGCCGCGGGAAGCAACCAGCGCTGAAGCAGCCTGGCTGGGAAAGAGCTCTAGGACTTGGGACACACAGGCCTCAGAGGGCTGAGGGCACTGGAAGACGAGGCTGAGCCCTGTTTAGGACTCCATGCAGGCACTCCACCCAGAGAGAGGTCACGAGGAGGGGGAGACCAAGATGCGTCAGTTACCTTTTCCTGGTTGAAGGCATCCATCCGCTTCATGGCTGTGTCCAGGGCTGTCACCATGTTCAGAAAGTCCTGGTCTTGCTCACAGAGGGGATTGGAGAGCAAGTCCAAAGATATCTTCACAGCAGATCTGGACATGGCTGCAAGAAGTCAGACCTCAATGAACCTAGGAGGGGACAGGCTTCAAGGTCTTGTCTGCAGACTCCCTGTCCTCCCTGGTTCCAGGGGCCTGCACCTGGATGACCTCCAGGCATGGCCGTGGGCCATAAAAGCTACAAAATGCCACAGAGCCATCAGACACTAGTCTTACTGCATAATGCTCCTTCTTGGCAACCTGATGCTGCTCTAGGCAATTCTTTTGCACAGCTTTACTGCAAATGCCTTTATTTTCCAAACTCTGGGTTGTAGCAGAATCATTTGGGTGGGAAGCTATGACAAATACGTATTTCTAGCTCCAATGATTCTAACTTAGCCAGTCTGGATTCTGGGAATATGCATTTTTAAAATGCCCTCCAGGTGGTTAGGATGTGAGGCTTGGTTTGGGACTCCCTCACGGACAAGGCAACACAGTGCTCTGGACCAGCAGTGGCAGACCTGCTGCAAAAGGCTAGAGAGAGAGCAAGGCTTTAGGTTTTGAGGGCCACATGGTTTCTGTTGCAACTACTCAACTCTGCCACAGACAATACCCAAAGAACAGGTGTGGGTATGTTCCAATAAAACTTTATTGCTAAAACTCGGCCAGATTTGGTGGGCTAGGCAACCTCTGGATTCAATGACATATGGTAGTAAGAAATACACTCAAAAATTTGTTTTCTCCTTAGACTTTAAAACTGGTTCAGACACAATCGAGCAAGCATGTCCCTTCTCCAACCTCTTCCTGCCCCTTGAGCATTTTGTTTGAAAACAAGGGAGACCTGAAAACTTGAACAAGACCCAAACCAAAGCTGCCAACAGGTCTCCATCCTGCCTCTGCCGGGGTTGGCATGTAACCTCTATCTTCCACAGGCATCAAACACCCAGGAGACAGCTGGGTGGATGTATTATGGTTCCGTTTTACAGATGAGCTGAGGGAGGCTCAGAAGAGTTCCTGAGTCCTCCAGGTCAGACAGCCGCATGTGCTGAGCCCGGACTCGGCCCTGGGCACCGCTTCCCTGTCCCCAGCTCTCACTGTGGGGTGGACAGGGAGCCTGGAAGCCACAGGGCAGCTCAGAGGCAGGACGGACGCCTGTTGGCAGCTGTGCAGTTTCTTGGTCCTGTCAGTTTTCAGGTCTCCATTACTTGCCAACCAGATTCTGAGGGCAGAAGAGAGCCTGGGGAAGGGCCGTGCTTGCTCCATGGCGTCTGCACCAGTGTCAGGTCTCAAGGTGGAACCAGTTTTTCTTCTTACTACAGCATGTCCTCACATTTAAGGGGCTGCCCATTGTAAGACACATCATTAACGTATAAAACCACTAAGAAAGAAAAAAATGCTGCCCACTGAACCAGAACACACCAGCAAGTGTTACAATACCTAATTTCAGAGCTGGTAAGTGTGAGAGTCAGAATGAGTGGAGTGAGGCCCACCTCCCAGCTCACGGCAGATGGGACCTTCCTTGCCACCCCACGGGGGGGTAAGCAGCCCTTGCCCCAAGCCCTTGCCCTCTCCACTCTGAGTGGGAGGAACAGACGCCCAGAGGGCCCCTCCTCACCCAGGCCCTTCCCCACGCCACAAGGCAGCCCTCAGTGGGTGACTGGCCTCCTAGCGCACTGTCCTGGGGTTTCTCTGGAGTCTGGGAGGTGCTGCAGTCACCCAGAAAGGGGCAAAATATGGAAGAAGACTGGAAATGTAAATGTTACAGAAAAGTTGAAGCAATGGAGGAGAAAACCCTCTCTGAAGTCTATGGAGTGGCTTTGCGGCTGAGGAGTGACCATCATGTGTAACGTGACTGAGATGGTCACAGACGGTGTAATTCAAAGACAAAAACCTGGACAAAATTGGCAATATTTTTGAAAAATTTCTTACACTAGTTTTTTAATATTTGAGGGAAAAAACCCAAAAAGGGAGTGGGAGGGGAGGATTTAGTCCCAATTTTCCTTTTTTTCCCCTAAAGCCTTCTCCAGCTCATGCGTTTGTCTTGTTTTTGCTTGAACCACCTGAAGTCAGTTAGCAGCATGTGTCCCCTCAGGCAGTCAGCTGCGGGGCGGCACTGGGTCCAGAGCCCCCGCCACAAACGTCACTGCCTATGTGGACACCGCCAGCACCATGGCCTCTGCCATCTGTCCGACCAGCCCACATCCCTTTTCTGCCTCTGCAAGGACAGGGGAGAGGTGTGACTGGCCCAGCACAAACCGGAGGCTGGTGGTCTTTGAACATGGGAGAGAGGGAAGGTCTTGGTCTCTGTGTGGGTCTCTGTAGCCCTGATGCAACCTCAGACTGTAAGCAAAGGTCCAGTGGGCTGGTCCTGCCCAGAAGATCTTGCTTTGGGACACAGCTTGGGATTTCAGATCTTGTCTAGGCAGCTGAGATGCAAGGATAATTTGATTCAATTGTCCGGAGCTGTGGTTCTCAAAGTGGAGTCCCTGGACCAGCTGTACTAGGACTGCCTGGGGCCTCCTTAGAAACACAGATTTTCAGGCCTCGACCAGACCTGATGAATCAGGAAGTCTGGGGTGGGCAAGGCGATTTGGGATGCAGCGAGCCCTTCAGCAATGTGTGGGCATCTCTGGCATGGCCTGTGGGCTGGGGCCCTGTGCCAGCAGGCTGCCACGGCTTCAGGAGGGCTTCTCTGCCCAGATTCTACTTCTGACTCAGGGCAGAAGAGGCCAGGAGTCCTAGGCTCTAGGGCTCCCCTGTTTATCCTGACTTCTTTTTGGAAAACTGCTCTCTATAGCCAGACTCCAGTTCATGGATCCCTGACTTGCTTGCAAAGCTGCTCATTACTAAACATCAACCTTCTCTTCATTTATGCTCTGGCTGTTCAGTTGTCTGGAGAAGGAAGGAAAGGAAGCGATATGTCACAGCTTTTGCTTTTCGCAGGGAGAATGATAAGGAAGGATGCAATCCAGGTAACTCAGAGCCAACCACAAAACAAGCAACAGATGGACTCCAAAATCTGACCTATGGCTTGATGTGGTTTGGAGGTGCCAGGGGCCAGGAGTGAGGGGCAGCTCTGTTCAGGGGCACCTGCATCGTCCGGATGCACACCGGCACAGGGGCCTGTGCAAAGAGCACCCGGCTGGGGGGGCTGCTGCCGTGAGAAAACCGGGGAGTGGTGCTGGCTCAGTGCGAGTGACTTCAAGCCACTTCTCAGGGACTCTGGTGGGCATCTACTAAGTGCACTTCTAAGCCAGCCTTAAAGTGACTGAGGGAGACACGTGTTCATCTTTGTTCCCCAGGCCAGGTTGGTCAAGGGAGGATGCGCCGCCTACCCAGGTCAGCATCGGTGCTCTTCTTCATGTCCTTCTGCAGCCTCTTGGTCTGCTCTTCCAGCCTGCAAGGCAGGGAAGCAGGCCTGAGTACCTGGCCTTGCCACTGGCTTTGGGCCCCTTTCTTCCCAATTTCCTGAGCTAAGCCCAACCTGACGCTCTGGAATGCCTGCCAGGAGGAAAAGGGGCCTCCTTGGCTGGGAGATGATTTACCCAGTAATGGGCGTGCACTCTGAGGCTGGGCACAAGCCTGACCTGGCAGAAGGCTCCCGCACTTCCCCCTACTGGCCCGTCCTCCTGGGGTTTTACACTCACTGCTGGAGTTTTCCATACTCTCGTTCGAAGTCTCTCTCCACCTGCAATGAGAAATGACAACATGTTGAAAAAGAATCTGCCAGCCTCCTGAAAATCCCTCCACACTCTCCCCAAGTCTGCAGAAAACAACAGGGTCCAGTTCATACAAGCACCAGCAGATCATTAATGACACAGTATTCCTGTGTTCCCAAAGTAATTACGTGTTTGATTTAGGGCAAAAGGCTCCCCTCCCAGATGGGCCTACAGGCAAGTTGGCGGCCTGCAGCTGGGTTCCTCCCCGACAGGGAGCGGGACAGCTGGGCCTCCTTCTCAGTCCCTCAGGTGAGGTGCTCATGATGGGACTGAGACTCATCCAGGGAGGGCACGGGGGTCAGGGGAAGCGGGTGAGCCTGGACTTTGGTGCTGCCTCTACCACTGAGCAGCTGAGGCCAGGCAGGTCACCTGACAGCCCTAATTTCCTCCTAGGTCCTACTACCTGCTAGGTGCATGGTAGATCCAGAAAGATCAAAACAAAATCATTAATTCAAAAAGACATATGACTGCAGCATTATTTATAACAGCCCAGATATGGAAGCAACCTAAATGTTCATAGATAAATGACTGGATAAAGAAGATGTGGTATATATACACAATGGAGTATTACTCAGCCATAAAAAAGAAATCTTGCCATTTGCAACATGGATGGACCTAGAGGCTATTACATGAAGTGAAATAACGCAGAGGAAGACAAATGCCATATTATTTTACTTACATGTAGAATCTAAAAAATAAGCAAATGAACAAACAAAAACCCAGAAACAGACTCTTTAAATAGAGAGAAGAGGCTGGTGGTTGCCAGTGGGCAGGAGGTGGGGAAATACGTGGAACAAGTGAAGGAGGTTAAGAGGTACAACCTTTCAACTATACAATAAATAAGTCAGGGATGAAGGACAGCATAGGGATGTAGTCAGTCATACAGTCCTAACTTGGGATGGTGCCCAATGTAGCTATACTTACACTGTGGTAAGCATTTCGTAGTGCATGAAACTGTTGAATCCTATGTTGTACACTTGAAACCAACATAATATTGTCTAGCAACTCTACTTCAATTAAAAAGAAAGATCATGTACCAAATACAAATGCTACTATTATGGACTCAGGCAAGGCTCTCTAAATTCCTGACAAGTTATCAGATTTCCTTGATACTGAATGGGTGTGAATCTTGACCCCATTCTGCCACCTGCATGTCAGGTGAAAAGTTCCTGCATTTCTAATGCTATAATCTCCCCGTCTACAAAATGGGGCTTGGGTGACAGCCTCTCAGGAGAGTGGCCTGTGAAGTAAATGACGTCTAAGAGCCTTAGAGGGGACCGAGGCCTCCCCTGTGCTCTCATCCGCAGCGGCAGTCCTGGCTCCCTGGCCAGCTTGTGCAGGAGCCTGGGGCTGAGGTGTGCTGAGCAGCAAACTGGCTGCGTTGGCGGAGGGCTCCCCTCCCCTCCCCTCCCGCACTGGCCTAGGTGGTGGGCATGCTTAGGCCCTCACAGTACTGAGGTGGCCACTGGCACGGATGTGAACTAACCTGCGTGAGGTCACACTACGAGTGGGCAGCCCGTGGAGCTGGGATTTGACCACAGGCATCTGGCTCCAAGGTCTGTGAGCTCCACTGCAGTTCTACCCAAAGGCAGCCAAAGGCATCTGCTGCTGAACCAGAGCCATGGCCTAAGACAGGTGCCTTCTCCCTGCTGCCCCAAGACTCCCACCGGTGAGAGCTCTAAATTCTGACTCTGACTCTTACAGGTTGAAGGTCAGGGAGCACAAATTTGCAGAACTTGTCAAAGCCCCACTGTTTTCTACCAGCACATCTTCCCATCAACAGGGCGTCGGTGAAAGAGTATTCTAGAACCCCACCAATCTCATACTGCACGTTTGGCTTTACATAAATTCAACACAGTCATGGAATGGCAGAACACTATTTGGGTCAATTATTCATGTTATGAGATGAATGAAGCCCAAAGAGGGAAGTGATTTACACAAGGACACAGCACTTGTCAGTGGCAAAACAAGGCTGGAATTCAGACTCCTAGTTCAGGCCTTTAAAAAAAAAAAAAATCACATTCATTAATCCCACTGACACTTATTGAACACCTATTAAGTGCAATAAATTCTGCCAGGTGCTAGAGATGCACCAGTGAATACAGCAGACGTGGGCCCTGGGGAAGGAGCCAAAACCAACGAATCCACATGTAACCGCAAGCCGGGGGCAGCCCTGTGGAAGGTCCGGGCAGAGGACGCAGTGACAGTGACGAGGAGCTTCCCAGCGAAGGTCTGCAAGACATGTCCCTCTTGCGTGTCACCTTCCTCACGTGAACTGTAAAGTTTAGAAGCCGGAACATATGGCCTTTTCCTTACTGTATGACCCAGAGAGGGGGGCCTTACACACTGCTGGGAAGGAAGTTCACCACAGGTGCCCCAGCCACCCAGCCGATGATCCTTTTCCCTTTTCAACACACCACCCCTTCTTCCACCCAGAGGCTCAACATTTTTACCACCATCTTCCTTACGATCCATCAAAAGCTACTCCTGAGAAAAAATTCAAAATTCATTTCCACTGAAGGGTACAAATCTGATAAAAACTCAAAGTGTTCCCCATCCCAGGGGATTCACAGCGGGACAGAAATCAGAGTCTTGGCTAAAGGCCTGCGAAGCCTCTGGTGTGGCTATACAGGGGAGATGTGTCCTGCAGCAAAGGGGCCTGGTGGGGGCTTCAGAGTCGCCCAGAGTTGGTCTAGCCCTTCGTCCAGTACATGCAGAGGAAGGTGGTGGGGAGGAGCGAGTGGAGACAGGTAAGGGATGAGCTTGATACCTGCTATGGAGCATCGAAGTATTACTTAACGTTTTGCATCTCAGTCTCTTTTCTAGTAAAATGGGTCAATTCCACTGAATCTTCCCCCATACAAACCCTGGGGGCTGGCGAGCAGGTGGGTGACAGCACCACTGCGCCAGCTTATGGAGGATTAGCAAGCAGTCTACGTGGAGCAGAGAGCAAGATGCCTGGCTCAGGGACATGTTTCCTTGTCCTTCTCCCACACACCAGGGTGCAGACTGGCCTGTCTGCCTGCAGCAGAGAGAGGCAGTGCCCAGCACGTGGTCGAGTGACAGTGAGGAGAACCCCTGAAGTCGGCCAAGTCGAGCCCTGGGCCTGGGGTTTATACCAGGGCCTCCCTGCATGGCACACGTCTCCTTTCTTACTTTGTAGGATGGGACAGCTGAACAGTCTTTACATATTAAGAGAATTTTTTTTTCCAAAAGATGACATTAAAATTAAGGCTGTGTTGGTCAGAATCCAGCTCTCTTGAAGATCAAGAACACAGAGGAGGTGCTCTGGGAGAGGAAGTGAGGGCTCCGGCTGGAGCTGCAGCCTGGCCCCGTGCCTCTTCTGCAATCCCCGAACATGCTGCCGTGTGTGTGGGATGGCGGGAACACCTGGTCCCCTGGCTGCAGACTGCCTGGACTCACACAAGGAAGGGCTGCAGGTTTCCAGTTGGGCTGGAGAGTTCTGGCTGACGAGAAATGTGGGGTCTCACATGGGAAGCTGAGGAGTGTGGCAGGGTGGGAGCTCCAGCTTTCTACTTTATGCTGCTCAAGGCTGCCTGACAGCCCAAGAGAGGTTCATGAGCCGTCTGCTTCCTCTGCTTCTGGTAGCCAGGTGTGGACTGTGTCTATAGCTTGCTGGTCCCAAGATCTCTCTCCTCCGCTGGGGAAAGATCCGATGGGGAGGACACCCCCAGGATTCTAGCTCCTCAGATAATGGCTAAGGGAATAGAGAGACACACTGGGGTCTCATTCCAAGGCATTCCCATTCTGAGGGAAGAGCCAAACGCAAGAGATCTGAACATCTCTGAGCGCTTGACGCCCTTGCCAAAAAGGCCACTGGACCCCAGGCAACAATGCAAGCGTAAACCTATGTGCATGACTGACTGCGCTCAGGGCGGCCGGGCCGGCTGGTGAGGTGAGCACTGGGTGGTCGGCGCCCACTGGCCTGGCCACTCCCTGCATCCTCAGGGGGGTAGGGTGGGAGGGAGGGCTGGTGCTGGTCACATCTATCACCGGCCCATTGGCCAGGCTGGCACACAGCAGAAGCTGAGTATCTGTTAACTGAGTGAATGGGGTGAGTGGGTAAGTTCCCTCCCACCCCAACTTACACTCATGGAGAAGTGGAAGGGAGACCACAGGCAGGCCTGGGTTCTAATCCCTGGGCTAGGCTGTGCCAATCAGAGCTGACACAGAGGCAGCACTGGGCATTCTGAGAAGCCCCTCTTCAAGGGAGACTTGGGGAGGGAAGCAGCTTCCCCTTGGTTTGTTACAATCAGATTAAATGAGGCTGCACATGAAACCCTCCCTCAAGTGAAGGCTCAGTGTGGTGGGACTCTTTTCTGCCTTGACTTCTTAGGGCACCTACCCAGCTGTGAATCTGGGTGTGTGCTTTCCTTTGTTTGGCAGACCCAGTAGCCCTTGCTTCAAAGAGGGTTGTGGCCGGTGGTGCAGCTTCTTTTGGTCACACCATGATGTCCAGCTACTTTATGGGAATGGGGGAGCTGGAGGGACTAAGCAGAAGGTTAGGATGTTGGGGGGCATGGCTTTTGTTCTTTCATTTCAGTACCAATGGTCAGCTCTGCAGAGAACATGCCACTCCAGCCAAAGCCTGACAATAACATGATCTGCACTAATAACCTGGGCACCTGGGACCAGGGAGGGCAAACACAGTGCTTTCTTTGTACCTGGCAGTTGGATGCTGTGAGCCAAAAACTCCTCCAACTCCCTGCAGATAATGTGAGCATCTCATCTCTTTCCCATGACAAGAGGGCCATGACTTCTGGGATCCCAGGCAGCCAGCTGTGTGGCTCCCTTGAAAAGAGCTTGGGTAGGAGTCAGAGAGCGCATCACCACTGTTCAGGGCCTCTGCCGGAGACACCGGGGCAACTGCACAGCCCTGACCTGTCTGGGGGACAGGAGGGGCTTGCAGGGGAGAAGAAGGCTCCAAAGAGGCAGGGTCTTGCTATATACACATACTTCAGGGCCTCTGAGGACTGGGGGAGCAAGTAACTCTAGCCAAGCTGTAACTGGGCTCTGACTCCGTGTGAGAGGTCAGAGGGCTGGCCTACCATTTCACTGCACTGGCCGTCTAGCTGCTGGGAACAGGCTGAGGTCCTCTGTGGTTTATACAGAGGGTCACATCAAGCATCTTCCCATAGGGTAGTTAATATTAACCAGGGCTCACCATGTTAAGTGTGGTAACGTGTGTTAAATGCTTCACATGTATCACCTTATGGAAGGCTCATAAAACGCACCAGCAAGCATCCTCACTTCCTGAAGGAGGAAACTAAGGCTCAAAGAGGGCCAGGAACTTGCCTAAGGCCACAGACAGTATGTGGCAGGGCCGGGAAGAGCATCCGGGCAGGGTACCAGCCAACTCCGGCTCTGAACCACTACTTGATGCCCAGTGTGTTTGGGGGAGCCGCTGCCACAAGTTAGAGGACTACAGTTCCATCCTAAACAGGATCAAAGCTAGGATGGGAATGGGAGAGGGGCCCAAGGGCCCCCCTCGCAGGTGCCGAGACTGCACCTCTGCCCTTTGTCTGGGGAGGCCCTGCCACTACTCAGATTAGAAGACCCAGAGATGGTTCTGTCCACAAACTTCAGCAGGGAGGTAGAAACTGCATTTTAACCTATACTTGTCTGTGGAAAACAAAGGCCATCTTGATGAAGGCTGGGTGTTGGGAGGGTTGTTTGCTTATTCGTCTTGTTTTTTGGTAGTGAGTGTTGGGAATAAAAGACCCTTCTCAAAACCACTTCCCTTTCAAATCTGCCCTGGATTAAGCTCTGGAGACTCAAAGCCACACCTTACTTCCTGGAGCCGGCGAGCACCCAACCCTCGCACGCCCAGATTCTCTGCGCTTCAGCTGAGCCTCCACAGATGGTCAGCCTCTGCATGGGAGGTAAGCTCTGAGTCTGTCCTCAGCCTGCCTTGGCTTGAAAAAGGGGACGGCTCTTTTAACCCGGGCCCACTTCCTTTCAAATGACCTAATTTTGGATTTCCCAAAGATAGAGCCATGGTCAGATGTGTGCTGAACTCTCCCTCCCACCAAACTGAAGCAACATCTTTCCTGTAGTTCTGAGTCCTGAGCCAAGAAAGGCCGAGGGTATTAAGACATGGAAACCATCAGGGGCTGGGGTCGCAGTCAGGGTCTCCCCCAGGCCACCAGTGCCCGGCTTCCTGGAGCTGTCACAACAACAGACAGTACCGTTATGGGCTCCCTTGCTAAAACCAAGAGCAGCTCACACTTGCGGCCAAGGGAGCCCAAGAGGCCATTGGTTACTAGAATTCTACAACCTTGGGAGGGCTTCACAGCCTAGGGGAGGCAGCATAAGGCAACGGAGCACACTGAACAGAGGCCAAACCTGGTCTGATTCCTGCTCGGTCAGTCTGAGGTTTTTTATAACCTTGGAGAGTCACTGCAATTCCATGGGCCTTGGCTTCCTGAGCAGGACAAATCAGGAGGTTGGACTAGATGATCTCTAAGTGTTTCCAGCTCTGCCTTTCTAAGAATGTATAATTCTCTTCCTTTCCCATTCTGGAGATTAAATAGGGATTAAAAACTGGATTTACAAAAGGGGTAGGATTCAGTCAGCCCCTCCTGCTGAGTGACTCTGGGTCCTGGCTCAGAATACATTCAGCAGTGGAAAGAAAGGGACCCGGACTCCCTAGAGAAGTTTCTTGGTCTTTTGCTCAGCCTGAGGTGGCCAGGACATGTCCTTGGCAGGGGCACGTCTCAGGCATCCCCTTCAGAAAGCACAGGCTGCCACGACACCCCCGAGATGGGCTCTTCAGAAGCAGTGCAACCCTCCTGCCTTGTAGCCCACCTCTACCACCTGCCCATAGATGGGGTGGAGCCCAGGCTGATCTGACGGGGGATGTCCCAGGATAGGACGTGCCTGCAAGTCACAGTCTATGCGGAGCTCTGCGGCTACAGGACCAGGAATAACAAGGCCCAGGTCCTGCCTTCCCAGCCCCAGGATGTGTGCAGCTAAAGCTCTGGTTCTGCACAGAGGCTGTATGAGGAGGAACTGAGTCTCAGAATCAAAGAGTCAGGTTACTCACTGTTTTGGGGACAATCTGTTTCTTAGGCTGCCCAATCTTGAAAGGAATCCTATGAGAGAAAGGGACAAAGAGGGATGTTAGGAGAAATGGGGACGCATGTGACTGAAAAGAATGGATGAAGTATGGGCCACTCTTGCCCCATGAGGGTAAAGCAGAGAGGCAGTGGCTTGTTCCCCAGTACTTGTACCACGTGCCCTGGGGGGCCAGGCTGGGTTCCTGTAGAGTGATCCTCCCATGGCCAGTGGCAGGTAGGGGTCCTCTGTGCACCCCCTTCTGCCCCTAATCACCTTTCTTATTAAGAATCTGGTGTTTAAATACAGTGCAAAGGTGAAGGGTGGAAAGGGGAGACACTGTGAACAACCATCACTATAAAGCTGGGCCTTGAGGAGCAGCAGTCAGAAATCACAGGTTCACACCCTTGGGAACATGCCCTCCACACATGCTGAAACCCCCGGGCCACCCGGATCGCGTGCTTCGCTGCTTCTCTGCATAAGGACAACTGCGGATCTACAGGGCTCCTCGTGTCGCTGGAGAGAGGTGACAAACTGTACTGGCATTCAGGACCAGCCAGGCTGGGGGATTTCCTGTGAGAACTGACAAAATCTCAACGTGGCTAACCTGGAGAACTCGAAATCCAGCCCGTGTGTGTCCCCAACTTGGAAATGGACGACAGCTCGGTACAGTGGAGGAGTCATGGCCCGGGAGTCTAAATCTGAGTGCTAACCTGGCCTCTACCTCTGAGCAGTCTGCCCTGGGACTTAATCTCCTGCTCTGTGAACTCAAGAGGGTTAAACAAGAGAATTTACAAGCTTCCTGCAGGCGCTAAAAATTATGATTCTACAATTCCGAGAATGAAAAGAGTGAGGCTGGGCTAGAAGGCCAATGAGTACATCCCAACAGCTACGTAATTGTGGGCTTCCCGCCCCCAGGCGGGTGAGCCCAGGGAAGAGGCCACAGTGGCAGGGCCGGGGGCATATGGGGCAGCTAGCTCACTGCTCTCCTTCCAGTGTTCAGGACCCCAGGTCTCTTCACTCAGACCCCTGAGTCCCTCCCACTCCCTTCTCCCTAGCCTGGTTTCTCTTGGCCCAAACTGACCAACACTGTTGGAAACCCAATGGTATAATTAACCACCGACAATAACCCCAGACAACGATCTGGCTGAGAGGATGGGCCAGCCTGAGTCACAGTGGTTTAAATTTAATTTCTGGAGGACATCCTGTTTATTGTTACCCCAGCCCCATATTTTGGGGGCCTTAACCCTTTGGGGGCTGGCTGACTCACGTGGCTCCTGTAAACAAATAATCTCTGGCTATGTAATTACCAGTGGGAAAGGTAAGCTATGGAACTGAAAAGGAAAGAAAAAATGAAATTGCTATTTCCCTTTCAGACCTGAAGAGGAAGGTTTCCGGGAGATGAGCGCCTTAGTACCCCCCACACCCCCAGCTACTTTTCCCAAAATCAGGGGTTGGAGTTGACTGACAACGATGGTTTTGGACAGTGAACAACTGCCCTCAAGAACCGTTTTGGTGACAGTGCAAATGAGGCCCTGGTGACTTCCTGCAAAGACTGTTCCTATTCTGAATGAAGCTTGCTGCTATATAAAAAGCTTGGGATCAGGAATCAGAAACCTGGCCTCTGCCTCTGACTACTTTTGCTATTTGAACAAATCACAATCCCTCTGGAGCTCGGTTTCTTAAACTATAAAACAAAGGAGTTTGGAAGAGATGGTCCCTCCAGCTTATCCAAAGCTTGAATTCCAAACTGAATCTTCAGTCCAAGAACATGGTGAGTAGGCTGAGAACTCCAGAGAACCCCAGAGTAGTCTTCAAAATGATTCCAACTTGCAGGCTAGTACTACAGACCAGGTAAGAAGAAACGAGGAACTCAGCTTCCATTATTTGTGGCGCCACAGCCTCTCTAAATCTTAATTTGGAATCACAGTATTTTTAGAACTGCAAGTTACCATAGAAATTTTTCCAGTTCAACCCTCTCATTTTGTAGATGAGAAAGCAGATCTGGAGAGGTTCCGTGACTAGCCCAGGGTCATTCTGCTGGTTGCCTGGCCACAGGAGTGTGGCCCAGGCTTCCCACCGTAATGCTCCTCCCCTGCCCCTTCCTCTCTTGAGAGGCACCCTTAAGGAGGGGAGTTATACTCTGCTGCTGGGAGGGCAGGGCATTTGGATAAGGTATTTCGAATCTTTTGCCTGGGAGATTTGTCACTTCTCCCTCATTTATTTATTCAATCATTTATATCAGTATGCACTCATAGATGTTTATTTCATACTCTGGGTTATAATCCACTACTATTTTGTGTTGTTCAAACTGCTCTGGCTTTGGCCACTGAGCACTCTTTCCACTGGCCCCAGTGTCCCTGCACATCAGCGTATGTGCGCTGTTTAGTACTTCCTGACTTCCTGGACTACGGAGGCTCCGCTTATCTTGCTCTCTTCCTGCCTCAGCCCTAGAGGTCGTGAGGAACTTCTGAAGTCCACAGTCAACATGTTTCTAGCCACCACCCAATACAACTACCCTGATGCAGCCAAGTGGCTATTCACTAATTCCCCAAATCTAGCCTCCCTGTAACTTCCTGTCCTGAACTGGGACATTTTTGAGTGCACAAATGTCAGTAACAATATCAGCACAACACGCATAAAACTTGGACTGTCCATGGCACCCGGGACATACGGCCACCACACCCAGTGGAACTCTTGCCCTTCTCCTGGCTTAAAGCCATTCTCAAGTCCACAACCTTGCTTACCTTCTTCTAAATGTCTAGGACTTTATTAAAACTCATCCCTTTAAAAAGTAAACCATATGCATCAGAGAACCCTTGGGAAATACAGAGAAGCATAAGAGAACAACTGAGAGAGAGGAAAAGAATGAAAAAACCCAAACAGCCCACAGTCTCATTTCCAAAAGATAACCAAGGTTAATTTTTTGGTGTTTATATTTTTAATATTTGCAGGAAGAAAAATGTGAAGCACACATGCCAAATGTTAGTAGTAAATTCTGGGTGGTGAGAATGTTTACTGTTTTCTTCTTTGCACTTTTCAAGTAAACTAAAAAAATCCCCCCCCTCTTTTTTTTCAGTTACAAAAATAACACTTGATCAGTGTCAAACACTTGGAAACCAGGGAAAAACACAAAGGGCAAACACAGACACCCCCTAAGGAAAATGCAACAGTTAATAAACACCCTGAATCTCAGTGTGTACACATACGTGATATGTGTGTATGTGCACATTTATGTAGCTTAAAAAAATAAACATATCATGAATGTTATTATGTGCCCAAAGATAGTTCTCATCACCCTAACTTTTAAGAGCTATTGGTACTTCATTATACACCTGTACCACTAGGTGTAGTTTTGAACCCATTTCACTTACTGGTGGCTCATGGTAACTGTTTCAAATGTTTTTTCTATTGTGAACAAAAACTGTAATGGCTAAATCTTTGTGCACATCAAGGGTTAGTCCCATAGGATACATTCCTGGAATCGGCATTGCTAGGTCAGAGGATATACATGTTCAAGGCTCTGATACTTCTGCCAAATTGCCCAAGGGGCAGATTGAAACTGCTGATGTTTTAAAAAAGAAATTTAACATTGAAATAGTTTACATTTTACCACCAGCCCTTTGGTCTGTGTATCGGGACTGTTTCTGGCTTAGTTCCCTTCTGCACATGTGTGTAGTTAATGTACAGAAGGTTTTGATTAGTATGAAGTCAAATCTACCAAATCTTTTTCCTTTATGATTTCTTCCTTTGGCGTCATACATGACCTGCTCCCTACACCTCAACATATAAAAATTCACATATATTTACTTAAAAACCTTAATGAGTTCATTGATCTAAGTTTACTTTTATCAAAGTTATACATAGGCATAGTTCAATAAGGCAACACAACAAAGTTTGTTAAGTGGAACTTTATGAGTGCTCAGCCCCCCTGATCTCATCTGCCCAAGAGAAGTACTTTCAACTCCGCTGGTTTTTTGGTATGTGCCTTTGCAACTATTAAATAAAAATGCTCATATTGTTATCTCTTGATTGTTAGGTTTCAGGCACTAGCCCTTTCTGTTTTGGAAGAGGAAGATTTAGCTAAACAAACAAACGTCTTTCTGGCCTCCACGCCTATCACATGAAGTCACATTTGCCACTCCCCTTCTCTCAATATAGCTATGATTTGGTTAGATCAATACTAAGCAAACTATTAGAAGCATAATGTGATTTTATTTTCCTTCCTGCATGTGGCAGCCAGCAGATTGTTCAGCCTTAGCCAAACCTTCAGAAGACTGCTGAGTTACTGAGCCAATCCCACCCCCCACCCAGCTAAGCCACTCCCAAATTCCTGACCAACAGACAGTGGTATTGTTTTGAGACACTAAGTTGTGGGGTAATTTGTTACACAGCAATACATAACTAGTAACTGCATCATTTTTTGCTTCCCCTAAAATCAGTAATTGTCACTTTTCTTTCACAGCCTTAATTTTCTACATATTTATCCCTCATTCTATCTCAGTTGTCTAACTCTGTTTGCAATATATTCATTCCCATCAGGCATTCTGTCATTCCACTTGAAGCAATCTGTACTGAAGCCTCTGCCCTGCTCCAGGCTGGATGGTTCCCTGTTCCCGGTGTGCAGCTGGCATCCTGGACTCTCCCTTCACCCTCCACACAAGGATTCCTTTGGCCTCTCTCTTGGGAATTTTGATACCTGGACTCTGTCTTCCTTTTGAGACTTTCTATACCAGAACCATCTCTATGCGCCCTCACACTAGTTAGTTTGGGTATGGAATTATAGGCTGGATAAACTTTCAGAATCTCCAAGGTGTTCCTTCACAGGGTTCTCAGCTCTCAGGACTGCTGTGGGGGTGAAGGCTAAAGCCATTCTGACTTCGATCCTTTGTATGTGGGCTGCTTTTTATGTTTCTTCATATGACCTTATGGGAATGGTATAAAATTCCACAACGACCTACCTTGTGGTTCTAATTTCATCCATGGTGCTGTGGTACTCACAGGACTCCTTCAATTGGCATTTTATAATTTTTAGTTG